ACCACAGCTCATAGGTAATACAGTTCAAAAATAGAACTGCCTGTGTTGTTGACTTATTGAAGAAGAAGAAGGAACCACGAAAAAGCGCCCGCAATAAGACCCTCTTTATTTCAATTGATCATGATCACCGGACGAGCGTAAGGTGGTCAAGATCAATTGTGAATTGCGAAAGGCGGCGATACACTGATAAGAGACGAGAGAGGCCAGAAAACGACGGGCGAGAGAGCGCAATGGCAGTCTCACAACGACACGGTCACTGGAGGCCGGCATGGGCCTATCGGGCGCCAATGGGCCTAAAACCTGAGCGCGCTGCGTTTTGCTTGCTGTTTTTCAACTTTTAAAAGCGGCATAGCCTCTGACGTTGCCTGCTTGACCATCGTGCACGGTTATGAGAACCTAGCCTTAGTTTATCGCGGAACGTGCCTTTAAACTTTAACAATTAACACGTTCGAGGCGGCGTGTACTCCCGGGAGTACACGCGGAAGCCCCTCTTTTCGGCCATTCGTACAGTATTGCGAAAACACGCGCATATTTTTTTTGTTCTTTTTGCGACTGATTATATTTCACTAGCATACATTTACACAATTAACACATCATACGAAGAAAAAATTGTAAAAATATGCCAAAAACAACGACGAACGTGAGTTCTGGGCGAAATGGCCTTCGCCTCGAATGTGTTAACAAAAGCCCGGAAAACACGAAACTGTCCAACTGGGAAAAAGAGTGGTGAAATTAAAAGAGTGCATGCGAGATCCACTTGGTTTCATACAGTTCAACTCAAAACTTCTTCAACTCACATTCTACTACTCCTTGACTCTTTCGTTTGAGAACTGCTTCAGCTTTCTCAATCCGCAAAATTCCTGACAAATCCATTTGGAAACCAACCTGAAATTATTGCTGGTCTTGCTCACAAATCTGTTCTAAAAGGACGAAAACACTTATTAAAAACAAACCTTAACACCACTGAACTCCGTCTCCTCCGGCTTCAGTTTATCTTCGAGCGCTTTTCCTAGACCAGCTACTGAGACCGTAGTCAGGTGCGAAACAAGAGAGTCGAATTGCCTTGAATATTATTTTTTACACGATACAGTGAAAAAACGAAACCGGCTGTTGGATAGAAGAGAACAAGCAATTAGCCCTCACTCGGTAATTCAGAGAGCCGAAGCCAACCAGCACCGAACATTCACCCCAAAAGAGTTCTCGGATCTGTTCGGCTTGGGAGGGACATTTTACTCTTTCACTGGTTACTTTGCTAAATCATGTTAACCGACAGGTCTCGTTTCGGTGCGATTGGCGAACTCTTGTAAAGTTACAGAATGGCAGAAGTGAGCCACTTGTTACAAATGCTTCAGTACCGTTTAATGCTCCCACCAAGCCGAACTGCAGCAAATTTCTCAAAAAAAGTCAAGTGTGCCTCGCAGTTGCTGTGCGGGTAAGTTCTGTACGTCAAATCATAAAGTGTCAATGACGTCAAATATCTCATTATTGACAAGTAAGCCGTTATTGTACTGCTGTCAGTGGCATTTTCGACACATTAGCAATCTGTTACATGACGTCAATGACTCGTCACCTATATCACCTATATCTCAGCAAGTAACGTAGTGAACCGGGTACTGTATTTAAAGAAAAACTAACAGAAATTGAAAAAAGTAAACAATGCTGACGTGTCTCCGTACCTAATTTGATCTTCATTGAAATGTTTCAAGCCTGAGTAATTGAGATCGAATGAGAAATCATCGGTGTAGGAAGTGAATGTAATCGTCTGAAACACGATCTTGTTTCAGGTAAAAAAGCCAGAACAAAAGGTGAACAATAAAGTGAAAATTGATTCAAAAAATACTAGACATGTTCCGTTCATTTGCTTAGTCCACGACCAACGCTTATTTTTACAAATTTGCTACCGTACAGGGAAGCTTCGCCACACTTACCATGGACATTTTGAATGGAGACCTGGGTAGATCGATAGAGTCTATAAGGTTATTTACAAATATAGATAGCAAAACTGCAACCTGCATTTCACAAGCAACTTATGAGCAGGTAAAGTTTGTAATGGTGCAGTAGGGTGGAGGCTTGGTGGTGAGCTGTGAAGCATAAGCGAGGAATCGCATACGTCGAATCGAGTCGTGGTGGTTCAGTGGATAAGGTTTCGACGTTCGATGACTCGATCGACGCTGCGATCCTCGCTTGATGCTTCACAGCTCATCACCAAGCCTCACTACTGCGCATGTACAAAATTACCCTGCTCGCACGTTGTCTTGAAATGCAGGTTTGCAGTTTTTTTTTATCCTATATTTGTAATATAACTTATAGACTCTAATCAATTTACAGCAGGTCCCATAAAGTTTCCATGGCTCAAGTTGACGGCCTTCCCTGGTTCGAATCATCCATCTGCTATGTGCTGCATGAACCAGCAGCATAACGGAAGATCATAGGTATAAACGGTCGTTTGAATAAGTATAGTTATACAATGCACGGAATAAGCACCAACAAAAACAAAGGCAGAGACTATGACAGACTTGAACCAAAAAAGGACGACATACCTTCTTAGTGGTCGGATATTTTCCTTTAAACTGGAACACGTGACGTGTTACGGGCTTCTCTATGATATCTCCACTCTCCTGTTTCTGCTTACTCACAAAGTTGACCTAGAAAGGAAAACTCATTGATACTGCTAGAAAAGAAAACCCTTATAGAATGCGAATTGGAAATAGTAAGGATGTACTATAATTTCCCTATAAAATGGCCGTCAAAGTACCTGAACAGGGAAAATCACAAGTTCTTCCACATCGAACGGCTTGACCTTGAAACCCTTGCTCAAGTGAGCAGCCTGAAAACAGGTAAGATAGCAGGATGACGAATAAACGAGAAAAGTCTTGTCCAGTGGTGCATACCTGATACAGGGCTCCCATAGCGATGGACTCATCAGTATTCAAAAATCGTCCAATCTCTTTACTAAAATACTTTACTGTTATAGAACGAATACTTAACCTCTAAGACCTTGAGGATTCGGAACGAACAATCTGCTTTTACATCTTGTCCCACTGCCGCACAGTTTCATGACTTTGGAAAAGAACAATGATTCCATTAAATATTATTGGTGCAGTTTGGCTACGGGTGGGGGAGGGGCACTTCGCGCTTACGCTGTCGTGCTCTTACTTAATTCCACCAAATTTACAAATCTCTCTTGATGGCTCGACATGAGAATGTTGAGCAGCGAGAGGCAAATGCCCCCCCCCCCAACTCCACCCCACTGCCGCCGAACCGCCTCGTATTAGCAGATGCAGGGCTGACAAAAAATAAAAGCAGCGTTGTCGTCCTCTTGAATCTTCGATTATTACTTCTCCTAGTGAATACCCTACCTTCCAATAGCCTTTTGTATCTCTTCTTGCACCCTCGGAACACGTGTACCGGCTCCCATCAACACTACTTGATCAACCTAAAACGGTTAAATATCAAAATCGCGGAGACTAGCAGATATTTTGGCAGTTACTTGATTCCCCTTGGAACTACGAAAATAGCCTCAGCGCTTTCAGATATTCAGTTTGTAGGCGACATTCAGGTACGAGCAACAGCTGCGTTTGTGTGCGAGCATCAGGTGCGCCTCCGATCTCAAGGACCGCAGAATTTCCTTGCTGTGTATGAACACAGACTAGCACTACTTCTGAGGTGCATATAACTACTACGACAGACCTACCTAAAGAGTAGAAAAACGCTTCTGCGGCGGAAAGTTTGGGAAAAGGCGCTGCTGCGACTTTAAAAGGTTTCACAATGATGTCTGAATATTGAGACGTTTATGTCTATTTTCTACTGAGAAATCAACTAACAACTATGACTATTGACGGGCCGTTCTCGAACGTGGGGAAGTGTTTCTTTATTCTTAAAATGGTCAATCCAGCTTATTTCAGTTGTAATTCAGCCATTTCCAAAGCTTGATGCAGTGGTTTGCCTACGCGAGGCATGAGATCTTCAATGAGCTTGTTGAATTCTTCACGAGTTACTTGCACACGCATGTCTATATCTTCATGAACGCTCTCAACTTGAGCATAATAGTCAGCATTGGCACTCAGCACCTTAAACGAGAGAAAAAACAGACTGTGCAAACACAGCACTAATCTGAAAATCAGTGCAGTTCGGCTTGGTGGTGGTGGCTTTTGTTGGTCTCCACCATCCTGGCGATGCGGCTTCCGCTGGAGACCTGTTGAATTGTACTATGCGAAAGGCGGAGCCTGTTCACACAGGACTTAAGGTTAACTCATCAAGAGACTTAATTCAACAGACTTTCAACAGACTATCGGAACAGCAGAATGTCCCCCCCCCCAAGCCGAACAGCGCTCAAAAACCTATCCCAACTAACCTGCTTTAATCGTTCAGCTTCCTTGAACAACTTGGCCATTGCCCTTTGACTCGCTGTGATGTCCTCCTTCGATTTGTAGTTCTCTCTGAACTTTTGCACCAGAAGATCTCTCAACCTCATTGTCATCTCTAAACCTCCCAGGAAGCGATCGAATCCAACACCCAACACAGTCATCTGAAAGGAAATTCACAGCTTTCTCCACACTACAGCTTTAAGGGCAGTGGGCACGATTGCAGCTGTTGCCAGTGTCATGGGTGGATGGGCTGCGAGAGGGCACTTGAGTACACCCTCAGCCAGCCCATTCACCAATGACATTGGTGGCAACCGCCCGCCCCAGCAATCGTGCCCACTGCGTCAAGGGACAGAAATCCGTTTCTGTGTAATGCAGACACGCAGTCCAGTATGGAACCTTGTTAAGGAGACAGATGACGTGTCTTTGACGTCACACAACACGTCAAAGACGTCACTAGCCAGGATTGGACGAAAAACAGTACTTCACTATTGCCGTCTTGTGCGAACGCATCTCTCAGCACTTAACAGGTAGCGGATCTCTGTTACACCTGCTCCCAAAAATCTGAACAACGGCTCAGCAGCCAGGTAACGCATACCTTTGGTTCTTTGCCGTACTTCTGCTTTGCCAATTTGTACTCCACGAGTGTCGCCACGGTTTTCGCAGCTCCCATATCGTAAATTAGAAGACGTTGTGGTGTGTCAGTAACTTCTTTTCGTCGAAACACGCCGTAGTTTAGTCCAGCAGCAGTACCGCCATTTATCAGCTTGAAGGACAGAATCATGGTGACGCAGAAAAAACAAGGGCAAAAAAAACCCACCTGGAGCAAGTTCAACTTTGCAATTTCGGCAGCTTTTTCAATTA